TTTCCTTCCCTCCTTCCACGTGCCCACACATTGGGTCTCCATCTGCATCAGCCGGTCCCCTCCACACCACAGCTTTTTTTTTAACTTTAAGCTCTCGCACCCGGCCCTCCTGACATCCGGGGGATGTGAATCTGGCTTGTAGAAGAACTTCCTTCAACTCAGGTTTTGCTCCTTTGCCGTGAGTCTCCGTCCCCACGATGGCCCACGTCCCGAAACGCTCTTATTTTGGACCCCTTGGACCACATCTGGTTGAGAGGGCCCTGTCGTGGGCCCTCTGCTCCCTTCCTTGTGAAACTTGCATGCACTCTAGAGCCTTGGGGGCTCCTGGGGGGAGTCCCCCACGTGGCCGTAGGAGAGCTGAAGTGAGTTTGCTGACTCGTCTGCCCCCTGGTCTGTGTGTCCCGCAGGTGAGCGCCCTAGCAAGGACCTACTTTCTCTAGCCCGGGACACGTGTGGACCACGGTGCATCATTCTCCCACAGGAATGGCAGATTTTACTCTAGGTGGCTCCCATGTCTGGGACCGTTGTAAAGATCGCTTAAAGGAAAAGCACAAGTATGGGCAATAAAATTTCAATATAAAGACTTTCCCCAAAGGATTTATGAACTTAGTGTCTACCGCAGCCTACATCTAACCTCTTCCCCTCCCTCCCACGAGCCATTAAGCAGACTTTTTCAGTGATGGGACTGTCATGACGTTTGAGAGTAAAAAAAAAAAAAAATCATGCAGTTCACACTTGCCCACCTTTGTCAGACACCTTGAAAACAGCATCTTTATCTCTGCAATCTGGACCCATGGGATCACTTGGCTCCTGTTGTTATATAGTGATTACCAGAATAAAACTTGGAGTTAGAAATTCTGTGGGAAAGGGGCAGATTTTCTTTGCTTTTCTGAGAGGATAACACATAAGGTAAGTGCTCTTTAATAATAAATGAATCGGGAGTAAGACGGATCTGAGGCTCTTGCTATTACAGGATTTCTGTCAAAAACTGAAAGTGCAGGTGTCGACTGTTGCACAAATTCCTCCCCACCTGAGAGGGTAACGTAATTTCCGGATAATCCTTTCAGAGTAGTTGGTGACTGTCTGCGTAAATCCCAGCAGCAGGATGTCCGCATGACCCTGACGTTGCCGGTGTTGGCGTGGTTAGATGGGTTTTACACGGAGAAGTTTCATTTGGTCTCACTGCTGGCTGAGTGCCCACCTTAGGAGTCCAGGCATGAACGTGAGTCGCGCCGTAATGTGTACAAAATGCCGCCAGGTGATGCCACCTGGAGAACAGTTTTTGCATGACTCCCAAGGAGACAGAAAGGACACTTCTTTAAAATAAACCCGAACAAGGTTAGCGAGCATCTCATTTTCTCCTACCCTGGAAAGTAGAAACAGACAGCGCACTTGTATTTTCTGCATTCTCAGCACTAGGCCTCAGCAGCTGCATTTCTGTCCCAGTGGCTTCCAAAGAAGTTGGGTTTGCCCTTTCCCCAGACAGCAGGGAGCACCGAGGAAGTAACCAAGGTGAAACTAACGGGCCCTCCTGTGCTCCCGTCCACTGGCACCCGGAGAACTTCCCTCTGGCTCCTGTGAGGGAGAAACAACCCAGGACCCTTCGTGAGAAACGGGGGCGCTGTGTCCCTGCTTAGAAGTCCGCTGCCTCCCTGGAGTCTCGGTTTGTGGCCTCAACCAAGAAGTCCCTTTCACATACGGTTGAAAACCTGTGTCTAAAATCTGTATCTAAATTTACAGAATTCGACGCTCGCCCCCTTTATTTTGAAGATGGTGTGGGGGCCCCCCAGGGTTAGTAAGTGGGTTCTTGGAGAGGGTTTCCACCTGTGCCGGTGGTACCACCCAGGGGCATGTGGCACACGCACTGCAGCTGCGCGTCCAGGGGGGTCATTCCGGCCTAAAGCGAGGTCATCGGGCTCTCGGGAAAGTGTCCCCAGGCTCCAGTGTGCCCCTTGCCAGGCGTCCCAGTCGGGTCACTCCGGCAGCTCTTGCTTCTGCTCCAGACGGCAGCACATCTGAGAAAGGCGTGTGCGCTGTGGACCCAGCCCTTCCAAAGAGCCCAGGGCACAGTGTGTCTGATTGTTCAGAGGAAGGCGGGTGCCTCCTGGGCCCTGGGGTTACTTTACTCTGTGAAGCTGAGGAAAGAAAACGCTATTTAACTGCATTCTCTTTGCTTTACACTTGGTTTTGGGGAGAGAATCCGTCTGTTATGAACCAACAACTACATCTAGGAGAGGACGTGAGCAGGTCAGCGCTCTCTCTAAATGTCAGTCCCATTTACCAGCCAAGTTAGAAACAATGCCAGTAATCGGGAGCTTTCACACTCCGCTTCCCTTGAAGGTTCCTGGCTTCTTAAAATATTCCCCTCCCTCCCCAAAATGCTGCTGAGAAGTTATGTGCTGCATCTTCACGCATTCCTCTTCTGCTAAGGGTTGTGTTGAAATGGTGCATCTTCCCTTTTGACTTGTTATCCAAGCAGTGGTTTATTAAAGGCTTTGCTGTTGTTCACAGCCTGACTTGAATGAATCCAGGTAAATCCTGGGAGGAAGAAAGGGAAAGGCAGGCCCCTCCGGACAGCACCAGAGCCCCGGCAGGCCCTCACTGCCTGACCGAGCATCAGCAACTGGCCAGTGCGTGGCCGGAAACACCCCGGGCGCCATTGCTCTTTTGCGTGTCTCCTGTTCTGCCCCTGCCCTCTCAGCTCTTACCAGCCCCTGTGTCTGTGATTTTCCTGCTCCACTGCTGTTCCACTAACAAGGTCTTCTTCCCTCATTTCCTCCCACTTCCTCCCCACCTCACTGACGGTGATATCATTTCCGCCCGCCAACGCCAACGCCAACGCCAGACCCAGATGTGGGGCTAGCACCCCGCACCTTCTGAGCTCGTGACCCTGTCTGACGCTTGGTGTCTGAGTTGTTTTCTCGTCTTTACGAGAAGGAGATCAGATCGGATGAGGTTTATTGCCCACTCTAGCTAAAAACTGAGTCTTGAGAAACTTTCTCTCTCCTCTTGGCCTGGCAGAGAGGACCATCCACTGGTCCCTCTGTGACCGGGAGCTGGCCAGTGACATGACCCACGGGGGCCTGGCCTGAGGCTGGGAGGGGGCGGGGCCACAAGGGTGTGGGCGGGCGGTCCCGGGCACCAGGTGGTTGGGTGTGGACTTGGCTGGACGTGCCGTCTCCATTTAGACGGTTTTGCTTTCCAGTGACTTGCTTACAGCAAAGGTAGGTCAGTAAATACCCATGGATCATAAAGATGAATTTTTAGTAGCTAAAAGTCATGGTGATAGCTTATCTCTGCACATGCTGTTGTCTGAAAACTATCTTAGCACACGTTTATAGATTTATAGAGAAGTCGTGAAGCTAGTACAGAGAGTGCCCACGTGCCCCGCACCTACTTTTCTCTCTGGTTAACATCTTACACTAGTGTGGTATTTTGGTTATGATTAACGAGCCGATATTGATACAGCGGAAGTCCACGCTTTATTCAGACCACCTTACTTTTCCCTGCCGTCCTCCTTCTGTTCCGGGATCCCATCCCCTCCCACGTGACGTGTGGCATCCTGTCTCCGTGGGCTCCCCCTGCTCGAGACGGTTCTCCGACCTTCCTTGTTTTTGATGACTCCTGACGATTGGGCAGGTGTTTCGTAGAGAGTTCCTCGCCTGTGATTTGTCTGATCTTTTTCTCAGGATTAGCCTGGGCTTATGGGTTTGGGGAGGAGGCTGTCAGAGGTAAAGGCCCTTCTTATCACATCATACGGTCAACTATAACTTGTCACTTGATGTCGACCTTGGCTACCTGGCCGGGGCCGTGTCTGTCAGCGTTTAATTCACTGTCCTGGGATGCTGACCTGAGATGCTGTTCACGGTGTGGGTGGCATCCTGGGACCCCCACTGGGTGTGTCCCGTGTGAAAGTCGGAGGCCAGGAGCCATATGTGCACGGGGGCCCCCCTCTTGGCATGTGATCAGGAGGGCATCACATAGCACTTTGGGCCAACATTTTGGTCCAGAGGAGAGGTGCTTCCCCGAGTAGTGACGGTTACAAGGAGCCCTAACTTGTTAGTAATTCAACGCTTTTCTGCTCTGGACCTAACTCTGTGTTAAAGTGGAGACGGCTTGACCCCTGCCGTCTCAGAGGATCCCAGGAAGGTCTCTAAACCATTGCTATTCAAGGCCTCTGGGTCCTAATAATTATATTAAAATGTGGTTTGGTTTTCTTTCCCCAGCAGCCCACTTGGAACGGTGTCTTGCTTTTCCTGGCAAATCGCACGATTATTGAGGGCAGGAACGACGTCCTTAATGTGTGCCTCTCGTGCTCTTTCTGCCCATAGAAGGCTCTCGGTTAAGAACTGAAATCAGTGTGGAGGCTCAGAGACCAGAGTCCACTCGGCCGGCGCGTGGGCCTCCGGGTGTTTCTCCCGCTGGTTAAGCCTGAGACCGGGAGGCCGTGGGTGGGTGTTGTGACCGCGGGTCGTGGAATCGTGACGTGCGAGGCCTTAGCTGTAGGTGATGACACGGGACCACCTCGCCATCTGTGCTGCGACGAAGGGGGTTAATGGGCGAGAGCGGGGCGATGCTGAAACACACACCTTTGTTCTTTCTCTCAGCAGATTTGAGCCGCAGGATGGGGTGCAAGGTGCTGGCGGGCATCGGGCAGCAGATGCTGCGGCGGAAGGTGGTGGACTGCAGCTGGGAGGGGAGCCGGCTGTCCCGCTGCCTCAACACGTTCGACCTGGTGGCGCTGGGCGTGGGCAGCACGCTGGGGGCCGGCGTCTACGTGCTGGCCGGGGCCGTGGCCCGGGAGGATGCGGGGCCCGCCATCGTCATCTCCTTCCTGGTGGCCGCGCTGGCCTCGGTGCTGGCCGGCCTCTGCTACGGCGAGTTTGGCGCTCGGGTCCCCAAGACGGGCTCGGCCTACCTCTACAGCTATGTCACCGTGGGCGAGCTCTGGGCTTTCATCACCGGCTGGAACCTCATCCTCTCCTACATCATCGGTAGGTCTCGGAGGCCCGGAGCCTGCCCCCTGCCACCTCGGTTGTTCCCACCCCAGCTGTGGGCCACGCCCCGCTTGGCTCCCTAGACACACAGAGTCTGGCGCCTCCCCGGCACCTGCGCCTCGCTGAACTGCTACAGTTTCCCTTTTCCTCTAACGCAAGGCGGAGGCCACCCTCGGGCATCACTGCCCTTGCTTTTTAATGATCAAGTACATGGGACGACCTTAGTGGGGACAAGCCAGGCCCGCAAGGAGGCCAGTCCTGTTAGCACGACAGACACAGGATCAGTAGGATGTTTGTATCTAGTTAGAAAGGACGTAGTCTCTTTGAGTATTTTTTTTTCTGATACTTAAGTAAATACATCACTGATACAGAAATATTTAGGAAACGTGGAAGAGCGCAAAGAAGAAAGTAGAAATGACCCCCTCTGACAGCCTGGAGACGTTAATTCTCTTATTCATTCATCCCTTCAGCGAACGTTCATCAGGTACCTCCTCTGCCCGGCATCCCGCTCAACGTTAGACCCCGTGGAGGAGCAGGGTGACCTCTGTTCACAGAGTTTAGGGATATAACACGGTTAATATTCTTGTGAACCTGAATGTATATTTTTCTGTCTAGAGTGTCTCTGTACTTGTAAAACAATGTATAGTGTACGTTTTTCATAGCGTTATTTTTCCATAGTAATATTCTTTTTTTTCCTTTCTGTAAGTTTGTTTATTTATTTATTTTCTTTTTGGCTGCATTGGGTCTTCATTGCTGTGCGCAGGCTTCAGTAGTTGTGCCACGTGGGCTCAGTAGTTGTGGCTCGCGGGCTGTAGAGCGCAGGCTCGGTAGTTGTGGCGCACGGGCTTAGTTGCTCCGCGGCATGTGGGATCGTCCCGGACCAGGGCTCGAACCCGTGTCCCCTGCCTTGACAGGTGGATTCTTAACCACTGTACCACCAGGGAAGCCCCGTGGTAATATTCTTGATGATGTACCATTATATAGATTTATATACAGATAATTGATTGGGTGCCTTTGTGGGGTATTTAGATTGTTTCCAGCTGTGTTGTTGTTATAAATAGTAAATTACTTAATGTCTTTGGCATAAAAAAGAAAAAGCTGTGCTTTTTCCTTTAAAATGGTCTAAGAAGCAGAATGTCTGGGCCAGCGGGCCTGCGTATCTACAAGGCCCGTGTTGCCTGTAACCCTCCTGACGGCCAAGGGCCCCTTTTCCTCACGTCCTTGCCGACTCTGGACTTGGCGTCAGCATTAGAAACAACCAACCAACGAACGGAAACACCAAAAACATAGTCTTTTCTGTTCGGTAGGTTTCAGTGTTACTCTCTTTATATTATTTGTATTTTAATTACAGCCGAAGCTGAGCACGTCCACCTAAAAGAAACAAACGCCTGAATGTAAGAATAGCTGAAGGATACGAATGGCCGGTTCGCAAACAGAAATAATACAAATGGCCACTAAATGTGCCAGTTCTGTTTTAGCTCTTTGTAGTAATATCAGAAAACCGGGGCCCGGGATGAGTTGAACCCCGTGGGCCCCGCTGGCTCCCACGCCCGCCCTCTGGGAAGCCGTGTGTGGCGCTGGGCCTCCTCCTGGGCTCCACCAGGCTCCCTGGGCGACACCCTCCCTTTCTTTCCAGCACCTGCCGAGAGCTTACTCTTCTGGGTTGGAAGATAAAATTCCTAATCACGTTTTTCTCAGTGCAGCACCAAAACTTGCAACCATACACGTCCTTACAAGCTGCAGCCTCTCGGTGGGAACGCAGCTATTTTAAAGGGGCCGTCATGTTTCCAGAGGATTTACCTGCGAATAAAGCAGAATGGTGAACGTGCAGCGCCTGCGGCTTCCGGACCAGCAGGTGGCGACGGGGCCTTGTCTCGTGAGACGCAGCCCCGTGCTACTGCAGGCGGTTCTCGGCCTCACCTCCGGAGCAAGGGCAGCTTTTCTATCAAATGTGTTTCTTTTAAAAGCCATGATTCAGAGGTGGGGAGGGGTAGGCTGGCAGGAAAAGCTGGGCAGCCCTGTTGGCAGCGAGCTGGCCTCTGAGGCAGGAGAGGCTGGCCTCTGAGGCAGGAGAGGTAGTGACCTTTTTCTTCACTGGGTTGTGGCCTCGAAGGACAGAACTCATCATAGGCTGGCTACTAGGGATGAGGAAATGTGGTTTCCTTTTTGGGTTGTTGGAAAAACACTTAGCGTGAGACCAGACGGTGAAATGGAGTCCCGCAGGTCACTCTGGCCAAGTTCTGTGGAAGATCCAGACCACGGTCACCAGCAAGGCCCCCTTTGAAGATAAAGAAACTTTTTGTGGATATTGGAACTTTAGCGACATTTCCTGAGAAGCATTGCTGGAAAAGCAGTGACGTTATTCAGATTAAGAGAGAGAGAGAGCAGTCAGAGCTGCTCTTGGCCTTTGGGGTGCTGGACGCTGCATCCAGCACGTCGGGCAGACCCTCGGGGCCACGGCCCGCGTCAGGTGGTGCCCGCCTGGGCCCGGAGCAGCAGAGACTTTGCTGCTGACGTGCAGCCAGCCCCCAGCCGCCGTCCTTAGTCCCCCGCAGCGGGAGGCAGGCCTGTCAGCTCTGCTGCTGGGGTCTTTGGGGAGGCGCTTCCTGAGGAGTGTGGCCCCTGCTCACTGCAGCCCAGGAATGGGTTGTGAAGTCACCTGAACGGTTTGCCCTCAGGAGTTCTTGTCGGACGAGACCAGATAAGTAGAGCTCAGTGCTGTCAGAGCGGCGCCTCTACGCTCAGGGCGACATTAGTTTGCTAGACTTTTACTGTGACTGAGTTACGTGTGCATTCGAAACACATGCTATACACGTCGTATTGACTGTGATGGAAAACAGGTTTCTTGCCAGGCTCCACTTCTCGCGTCTCTGCAAACACTAACTGACCCTCACTTCCGAGTCAGCACGTCCCGGGGTCCGGCGGCTGCCGCGGGACCCCCGTGCGCTGGCTGCGACCCCTGCGTGAGTGCTGCCGGTGCCGGGCTTGGTGACGGGCGCTCCGTTGACCGGTGCCCTGCAGTTTCGTCTGATGGTGTGTTTCGCGGCAGGTACTTCGAGCGTAGCCAGAGCCTGGAGCGCAACGTTTGACGAGCTGATTGGCAAACCCATCGGGGAGTTCTCGCGGAAGCACATGGCCCTGAATGCGCCTGGGGTGCTGGCCGAAAACCCGGACATATTTGCCGTGATCATAATTCTCATCTTAACAGGTAAAGCCACACACCGGAAGGCGCTGGGTTGGAGCGAGGGGTCCGAGGTGTAGGACAGGCTCCCATTAAGTTGCTTTCTTCCTTTTCTCTTTCTCCCATCCCCCCATTTTCTTCTCCTTTTTGTGGTGGATACAGACATCTTTTTTGTCAGAATGGCTTCTTAGAGATTCACGTGGGATTGACCTCTTGAATCGGTCGAGTTACGTGTCATTTAATTAAAAGAGAATCTCAGGTGTTTGCGTAACTGTTTGTGGAGTAAGATTTTGTAACTGCTGCAGGCTTTTTGATACAGAAATACAAATTCTTTGGAGTCAGCGGATGACTACTTGGAAAAGGAAAGTTGGCGTTTGTCAGCCAGGGCGATGTGGAGGAATGAGGGCCTCAGTGTTGGCGAAGGCTCGGGTGGTTTACACCCAACGGCCGGTAAAACACGCTTTAAATAAATAAGCTTCACCACGAAGTTGCTGGTACAGAATTTTAAAGTCGCAGACATGGCTTGAGCACAGCTGATGGCAGCTGCTTAGTGACACTTATCCGAGTCTCAGCCACTAGGATGGGAGTTTTGTTTGTATAAACATTAAGCTGAAATGCAGATAAATTCTCCTTTGAGGTTAGAAAATCTTGGATGGGTTTTAAAAACAACGTGCCGTATTTTACACACCACATAATTGAAACCATTCCGCACAGGCCAGTCTCAGCAGCATTTCTGGTCCAGCTGGCAGGAACATGTATCAGAAATTAAGTCTGCACGAGTGAGACTTTCATAAACACGAGAGGGAGGGACGCTGAAGAACAAACATGGCGGAGGAGTGTTCCCTGTGATGAATTGCTCAATTCTGTCCTAATGCCCGTTTTTCAGAATTCAGTCTATTACGTAGAGCGTCTTTTGTTTTAAAACGTATGAGAGACCTACACGGCAGGGCAGTAGTTTCCAATCAGGTCAGTGGTCACGTGTCACCAGGCACCTTCCCTGCCTCTTTTCTTGCCCAGCCGAGAGTTCACTACAGAAGCGTCACGTGGCTCCCGTGGGTTTTTATCATTCGGTGTCTTCTTTATCCTGAGTTTACAAGCTGGCACTAGTCTAGCGTATACATTGTTCTTCGTGTGCTGAGTCCCAGGAGGACCCGTACGTGGCAGGGGTCCCACAGCCCAGGTGGCTGTCACTGCTAGCACCCCGTAGCAGTGAGTGCATGACTCCTCTTCTGGGAAACTCTCACCCTCCCAAGAAACTGAGCAAAGTGTCTCTTGGAGGAAATGAAATCCTGCCCCCGAGGGTGGCTCTCGGGGATGGAGGTTCAGGAAGAGGGAGGGCCTTGCTCTCGGGGGCCGTTGGCTGACACGTCGCTGCCTCTGCTGGTGTCCCTGGCCTGGCGTCTCGAGTCCAGAGGGGATCTGGAAGGCCAGCCTTGATGGCTTTGTTCAGCACCCCCTCAGACCTTGGTTATTTTGATCCCTGCCTCTAGAATGAGAATTAATTCAGCCCCATTTCCTCCTCGGAGGTCTGACGCTGCTTGGATTCTTTTTAAGTCACCCTCTCGTCCCCGTCCCCATCCCAGAAGGACGTGCCTGGTACGAGGTTAACACTGAGAGAGAGTTTCTGTTGATGCGCTTTTACAGGACTTTTAACTCTGGGCGTGAAAGAGTCAGCCATGGTCAACAAAATATTCACGTGTATCAACGTTCTGGTCCTGGGCTTCATCATGGTGTCGGGATTTGTGAAAGGATCAATTAAGAACTGGCAGCTTACGGAGGAGGATTTCCAGAACACATCTGGCCGCCTCTGCCTGAACAAGTGAGTGTCGCTCTGTCTCTGGGTTCGCGACAGTCATGACGTTGGTGATGCCGTCGGCTATGAAAATACGAGTCTTTTTTTTTTTTTTTAGTGTAATTTGAACTAGAATGTTTTGTTATTATTTAATTGTGTTTTTTTGCAGTCAGGTAGCTGAGGGTGTTTGATTTGTTTGAAGTTTGGGTTAAGTTTTCTTTCCTTGCACTTGACTGCACACTGTATGACTAAGGAAGGTGTTGGGGAAACAGCATCCTCATTCTAATTCCAGAACTGTGCCTGGTTGGGGTCATCATCAGACTCACTCAGGAGTCCCTTTCCCTCATACTCTGTTTCACGATCAAGCTCTCAATTTTGTTTTCAGAAAAGATTTTCTCTGCAGCACCGTGGTGGTAGCCACTTTATTTTGAAGTGCCTTCCTATTTGATACCCTAGAACAAAGAAGAAATACGTGGAACTTTTATCAGAGGCTTTTTTCAGAGGTTTTCAGAATTACTGAAGTTCAGAATGTGGCTATGATAACCTCTTTCACTCGCACTCAGCTTGTGCTGCGTCAGCCCTGAGAGACCGTGGCCCCGTCTCCCTTCCGTATCTGGGGCTCAGGACACCCAGGGCTGGAGGCAGGTGCCTGGCCAGCTCCCCAGGCCTCTAGGTGCACCCTTACCGACAGGCTCATCTTATCCAGGAAACAAAAGCCAAACATTGAAACGGGCGTTTCTGATCTTTTTTTGTCAGCTTTTTGGGTAAATTTTAGGGTCCTAGGATGGAGAGTGGGGAGTTTTCATTTTGTATACAATTCTGTTTTAATTATGGCTAAAGGTTAAACTGCTCTGATGAAGAGACCTTCCTAAAAGTGCAGTGGCTTTAAAATGATGTCTCAGGTCCTGGAATGAACAGTCGGTGGGGGCGGGGGGGGGGGGCTGGCCAGCAAGACTGCACGCTGGCTTTCAGCGACCCGATCATCCGCCCGGCTGTCCCGTCAGCCTTGAGGACGCCGTCTTCGTGCACCTGGTTGCATCTGGGCTGTGGGCACAGGCATGGCCCAGCTCTCCCACAAGGGGACAGAGCGTGAGGACAGTGCACTCAGATCCGGAAGACCCGTCCCCACCTGCACGGGCACCCGCGCCATTCACTTGGCGCACGGGAGGCAGGGGCGGCTTAAGACATGCTTTTCTCCACCGAAACAGTTCACCCTTTCTAACCGCGGCATCTCTGGAAATGCTTGTTTTCAGACATGAGCCACTGGTAAACGTGCAAGACTTTGCATTTTGGTCCCAGGCGGGCGGGGACCGCTGCGCCTGGCGGGCAGCTGAGCCATGCTCTGGGGGTCCCGGGGGAGAGGCTGCAGTTGCTGGTTCCTCCCCTTCCTGACGGGCACCCTGCCTTGCGGTCCCTGCCCCGCACGAATCAATATTTAGCCAGGGCGTCTGGAAAGGGCTTGGGGGCCCCCTCGCAGCCCTGGCCGTGAAAAGCAGGGAGGCCCGTCGCCCAGGAGTGTGGTGGCTGTGACAGCTGTCCCAGGACCGTTCACCACGGGTGGGGGGCCCGGCCGCAGTGGGGACAGCTGGGATGGCTCCTGTTGGGGACCACGGAGCTGGCGCTGGCCTCTTGACTATGGCTCTCTCTTCCAGTGACACGGAGGAGGGGAAACCTGGTGTCGGGGGGTTCATGCCCTTCGGGTTCTCCGGTGTCCTGTCGGGGGCAGCCACCTGCTTCTATGCGTTCGTGGGCTTCGACTGCATCGCCACCACAGGTATGCCCGCCGCCCTTGGCCCGCCCGGGCCCACCTGGCCAGGTCGCCGCTCCCCTTCCCGGGCGTGCGCGTGCCCGTTGCCGCTCTCTCCCTCCCGAGTGCCGTGTGCGTGCGCACCTTCCTGCTAGTCTTGGCTTCACCACTCCCCGAGTGGCAGGCCTGACGGGAAGCGGCATCCTGAACGAGACCGCCGGTCCCCTGCGGGCCGGGAGGATGGCATAGCTGCGGCTGATTGCAGACCTGTGCGCCCTCCGGGAGAAATAGGGCTGCTAAAAACACCGTCGTCCTGGTGACTGAACAGGCCGGGCTCCCGGGCCTCCCGCGTGTTCTCTGCTAAAGGCAGCGAGTCTTCCTCGCCGACCATCAGTGTAAAGGCCGAGAACACTGTCCCTGGGCTTGTGGGTGTCGTGGTCTGTGGTGCTGGGGGAAGGCCCTGGTCCCCACAGGGCCGCGTGCCGTGGGGTGGTCCCGAGCCCCCGGCTGACCCCTTGCTCCTTGCAGGGGAGGAGGTCAGGAACCCCCAGAAGGCCATCCCCGTGGGCATCGTCGCGTCCCTCCTGATCTGCTTCGTCGCCTACTTCGGGGTGTCGGCCGCCCTCACGCTCATGATGCCCTACTTCTGCCTGGACAAGGACAGCCCCCTGCCAGACGCCTTCAAGCACGTGGGCTGGGAGGGCGCCAAGTACGCAGTGGCCATCGGCTCCCTCTGTGCCCTTTCCACCAGGTGAGGAAGCGGAAACTCTCGGGAAGGCGCATCTGCTGTGGATATTCCTCTCGTCCCTTGAAATAGAGCCAAACCCCAGCCCTGATCGTGTGGCTTCCCCCCTCGTGCTGCTGCCGGTCACCCCAAGGGCTGTTTGTGTTACTGACATTTCATCTCGAAGCACCCGAAGCCCACATCTTAGCACTATCTGCTCAGCAAGGTCCTGCTTCTCTGTCCCCATCTGTGGCCACTGGACCAGGCCGCCTCTGTGAACGCTGTCTTTTGGCCCTTAGTTTGGCCATAAAGCAGAGGCTGCCTTGAAAAGGGGAGCACGTACCTTTTAACGAGAAACACTTGGCTCTGATGTTTTCTGCTGGCCTGGACACACGGGAGGTATTTGCTAAAAACGGATTGACCACAGAGAAATCCTCATGAATGCAGCGATGCTCTTATTTTCTGTTTGATTCAGCTAGAAATAATCACGGGAATAAATACATAATTTCTCTTCCATAAAACTATGTCTAGCTGCCACGCTAGTTTACGTTACACGTCTCCCGTTCCTGTTAGACTTTGCAGTAAAAGTGCTTTTCCGGGGGTTGGTGTGTTGAGTCCCCGTCTCTTAGGTGCGGGCTTCACAGTTTGGAGACAGCTGCCTCTCCTCGGTGGTAAACACGCATGGTGCGTTACGGTGCCTTTATTCCCATGAGATATTTTACGGATGCATTTTGCTTTTCCTCCCATCTAGCCTTTTAGGGTCCATGTTTCCCATGCCTCGAGTTATCTATGCCATGGCTGAAGATGGACTGCTGTTTAAATTTTTGGCCCAGATCAACGACAGGACCAAAACACCAATAATCGCCACGTTAACCTCAGGTGCCATTGCTGGTAAGAACTGGAATTTCACATGCCAGTATTTTCACAGTGGAGTTATTATCCCCTAGGGAAATATCTTGAATTGTGCTGGCCTGAGAGACGTTGTAAGTGGTCTTTTTTAACTTTGGGTTTTTACTCTTGTACCTGGTTTATTTGAAGGTAACTAAGTGCCTTTTTGACAAAAGGCAGAAGCCAGTTTTACAGAGGATGTGATGGAATTCTCAAACAATTTGAATTTTTAAATTGTTATCGTTTCATTGGACAGAGCTTAGATTACACGCTGTTCCTTCAAAGCCCGGTGTCTTTCCCCTTTTCTGAGTGTCCCTGAGCAGACCTTGGTGGGATGACATTTTACACGGTACAAGCCAAGTGACTTTTTGTTGGTACTGGAAATTCACCATCCGTGTGTCTTAGCTTGTGAATTCTCTGGGAAGTGGGAATCCCTTATGATCGATGCTTTATAAAACGTGTCACCTATTCCCCAGGGGACACTGAGGGTGTGGCTGGTCAAGCCATTCGCCCTGAGTTTATAAACAATGGCAGGTCCAGAGGAGGCTGATTGGACCGCATATCGGGTCCCTCACCAAGAGGACAGTTCCGAGAGATGAGAGCTGGGGGCTAGAGAACCCTTGGAGCTCTGTGTGTGCCACGAAAGCCATGGCAGCCCTGCAGGGAGACTGTGCTTTTTTTTTAATGTTTCCTCCTTGAATTGCGTTTCATAGCCCAGGAGGCAGGTGCACACAGATGAGAAGCGGAGGCTCAGAGAGGTAAAGTGAGGATGCTCTCGCCCGGTGAGTGCAGAGCTTGCCTCTTGGTTCCTGGTTTGTTTTGGGGCCCAAATGGCTGGTTCCTTCCAGTCCATGAGTAGAGCAGTGGGTCTTCTTGGTAAATGATGACACATGATACCAGTCACAGCTGTATCACAGGAACTTGTCCAATAGCCTTGGGTGAGGCGTATGACCATCTGAAGGAGTGGATTGTTGTTAGTAGCATTTGTGCCCTTAGCAACGTGTGCTTATAGTTTTTTGGATTAACGTTATATAATGAAGGAAAGCCAGTTTTTCTTACTTTACACGTTTGTTATGTGAGTCTGCATTCCTGAGGGTGATTGCAGTGGGGAGATGAAGGGGCACCACGTGTCAAAATGTGACCAGTATGTTTAAGGGCTTAAGGGATTGGAAATAGTGTTTTTTCAGTATTTACTTGTAATTTGACTGTATTGAAGACTGTGCTGATTAAGGGACATCGAACTATAATCTTTACAGTGACTGGAGAATACTCACATCGCCAAACCAAGGCTTTGCTTTGCTTTTCACGTGGCAGAGGTGGTAAATGAGTATTTCGTTTTCTAGAATCACCTCACATGGAAGAAGTCTGGCTCGAGTTCCTCTGAGTGGGAACGTAGGCATTTGTGGCGCACACAGGGGGATCCTCTTCTAATTATCCAGAGGGGCTCACTGCCCTTTAATGCTGTTTTGTAGCCTCAGTTTGAATTTGTTGTAGTTGCAGTGGTCTGTGTGGGCTTGAGAAATATTTGTGGAAAAGTTACGGCTTAGTGTTTATGTTTCAACTTGCGTTGATTGCATGTGATTTGAAAATATCCCAAAGTAGATCCAGCCAAGTTATTTTTTAGATGGGAAACTTGACACATATACCCACATAAATAGACATGCATACTCTCATAAAAATCTACAAAAGATTTTCAAAGAAGCATGCATGTTTTGTTTTGCTTGAAGTGGGGTCATGGTGAAGGGACTGTATTGTCTGGGAATAACACTGCTTTCCATGCCCACCTCCTGGGTTAGAATCCTGTGTTGAGGGCAGCGGACTTGCCCCCAGCCGCCTCCTCACCACTGTTGCCTGCTGATGCGAGTCTCCGGTGAATGCTTGGGAAGGCCAGTGGCTGTCTGGTCTGCCTTGTTCAATGGCACATACCTAGCACCCAGTGACTGGCACGCTCACGAGTGCCACTGGATGAGGGATGAGGGATGAATGGGGTGGATGATGGATGGAAGGATGGGTGGATGATGGGTGGAGGATGGATGGATGGATGGATGATGGATGGGTAGATGATGTATGATGGATGGATGGATGGATGGATGGATGATGGGTGGGTGGATGGATCATGGGTGCATGGTGTATGGCTGGATGATGGAGGGATGGATGATGGGTGGGTAGATGATGGATAGATGGATGATGGGTGGGTAGATGATGGGTAGATGATGGATGGATGGATGGTGGATGGGTGGGTGGTGGATGGGGCGGTGGATAGATATACATGTCTATCTATGCGTCTGCATGGTGTAGGGGAAGATACATTGGGCTCAGAGCCATAAGAAGCTAGCTCAGAGCCTGACTCTTCCACTTAATAGCTGTGTGACCTTAGGTAAGTCTCTCAGCATGTCTGAACTTCACTTTCTCCATTTGTAGTGTAGGGATGGCTGGCAAAATTGCCATGAGGGTCAAAAAGGATCATGTTGATAAAAGTACTCTCCATATAAATGTTAATTATTATTACTGTCTGTTGAGAGCTGCATATATGGTTAATCCTGAGCTTTTATCCCCTTTAAGCAAAGTCACAGTGTTTTTCCATGGAAAGGGCCGGGGAGGGCGAGGGGGAAGGTAGAAACAGCACGCCTCACACAGCCTGGGTCCCAGGTGGGTTGTGGTTCTGGCTGGCTGTGGAGGGCCAAGCTCGGTCCTGACGTTCGTTTCCTCCCCAGGTGTGATGGCCTTCCTCTTCGACCTGAAGGACTTGGTGGATCTCATGTCCATTGGCACTCTCCTGGCCTACTCTTTGGTGGCTGCCTGTGTGTTGGTCTTACGGTAGGTATGGCTCTCTCGGTTCCAGGACAGAGGCACCCTGCCAGCCTTCTTTTTAGCAGTTTGTGTCAATGGTTTATACAGTGTAAACTTTAGGCTGCGGACAGCTCCTTTGGGACCCGCCTGGGAGAGGGTGGCATCTGGTGGTTGAAAGCCTGGTTACAGAGAGTGTTCCTGAAGAGTCCGGGGTGGCCCCACCTGTCTCTCTCATGGGCCCTGATTCTTCTGGCTAGATGTTGGGAGGGTAGAGACAGGTTATCAACCCGACTGTTGGGCCTGGATCCTTGGATCAGAATTTTTGAAGGCTTAGGGTAACGATTTCAATTTGGTCCAGGTTCTGGGACAGAGAGGACTGGGGTCAGGCCCTGGTGGGAACTGGGAGAATCCGAGACCTGTGAAACGTGGGTCAGTGTGATGCTTCCGTGGCAGCAGTGCACCGGCCCCAGAGGAGTGAGTGCCGTTACAGGTCCCAGAGTAGCCAACAGTGTTCAGGAAGACTCTCCCGGTTCTGGCTTGGAGTCCTGTCTGGACCGGGCCAGCCCCGTGGAGGGCCCTAATAAAGCAGTTCTGGGCCGAGGCTTGGTGTCCTGGGGTCCTCTGCTTCCACGGTGCCCCTCTTTTCAAGCACACCCCTGCTCCAGTTTCCCTTTGCTCTGGGAGACAGGGCTCTGCTTTCTCACTCCCAGGAACGACCCCAGGTAAGGGTACATGATGAGAACAGATACTCGTGGAGGTGCTCAGTGTGGCCACCTAGGGAGAGCCCCCCCCCCCCCCCTCC